GTTGATGGAAGTATTTCAGATTGCATGTGAAAACCCCACACTGTACCCCAGAAGTGCATTAATGTACATAGTTACCATTCAATAAAAAAAAAAAAGGAAAAAAAAATTAAAAAATAAAATAATGAAAAAATATATTAGATGTCAGGGATGTGTCCTACCAAGAAAACCAGAATGTCATGTGTTTGGCCCTTGAGGAGGTGGGAACTACACATTTTTGTTTTGTTTTCTCAGTGGGAGGGTTGCTAAAACATATAATGTGGTTCTACAATTCCAAGGTTCCACTTGAAATCCAAAAATTTAAGGGAAGCTGAAGAGTTTCGCCACACTAATGAGCAGCAGCGAGTCCTGGAAGGGTGTCCGCCTGCCCATCCCAGTGCGTTTGTTATTGAAGCGCTTTCTGTTTTGTTCTCATCAGTTAGTTTTTTGCTGTCTAGTGTTTGCCATGATCTGGGGTAGACAGTGGGGGTTGGTGAAAGGAGGCTGTGGATGGAGGGTAGGAAGGAGCGTCTACCTGCAGCGGCAAGGTCTGTGAACACCCCTGGCCACCCTGAGCCCACAGCAACCAGGGAAGACTTCAAGGAGGTGGTGGGTGGCATTTGAGTTCAGTTGTGAAGGAAGAAACAAAGGTACCCAGGCAGCAAGGTGGGCGAAAAGCAGGTGAACGCTCCGGTGATGTTGGAGGGGCAGAAGTGCGCCATCTGCAGGAGACGGGGCAGCAAGCAGCCTGTTGTGACAGGAACGGGGCTTGCGGCCGGTTCACTGGTCATAAGCCCAAGTGTGGCAGGCCCCCGCCTCATATAAATTACGGAAATGGAATTATACTTGTCTTTGCCACTTTGCAAATCTAGGTTTGTCTGGAGTAGTAACTATGCTGTGAACTTCTGAACAGTCCTTGTCCGGTCGATGTATCCAAATCTCAGACAGATTCCATTTATTTCGCGCAGGTGCGTTTTCTGCCTCCTTAGAAATTACTGTGCCTCTGTGCAGATAATTCAGCCATGTAGCAAGTTCTGTTTATGAGGCTTTTGATCAGCCACTACTGTGAGCTGTTATTCAACTATTCTATTCTATTCTTTTCTTTCTTTCTTTTTTTTTTTTTAAAGGCAGAGTCTCACTCTGTTAATGCTGCAGTAGAGTGATGTGGCATCATCATAGCTCAGGGCAACTTCAACTTCAACCTCAACTTCAAACTCTTAAGCTTCAGCAATTCTCTTTTCTCAGCGCCCACTCTGCGTAGCTGGGACTACAGGTGTCCACCACCATGCCTGGCTAGTTTTTTCATTTTTAGTAGAAACAGGATCTCGTTCTTGCCCAGGTTGGTCTCAAACTCCAGGCAATCAAACTGCCTTGGGCTCCCAGAGTGCTAGGAATACAGGCCAGGAGCCACTACAGCTGGCTGGTTCTGTCTTTTATGGATTTTGTCCTCTTCATTCCCCCTCAATTCTACAACTTTTGCAGCAAGTTATTAATAGCCCTGAAAGAACCATGCTGGTCCCAGACACTCCTCCCACATCTGTCAGCTTTTGGGTTAATTCCAAAGCCTACTTGCCCATGACTTTGATTCACTATACAATTATTTAAATTGAAGACTATATTTCAGACTAATATTTGGTGATGCTATTTTTCCATAAATAGAATGATTGTCATTGCAACAGTAAATGTCAATTTATTTAGTAAAATAAAAACAGAGTATTGTGATTCTTCATGAAGTAGGACATCAGTAAGAAATGAAAATCCATCAGTAAAATGCTACTTACTGTAATTTTTTTCACTTCTTCTGGTATAGATCTGGGAAGAATTGATAATGTCTTTGTTTCAAATCAAATAGACTTAGATGCCACTCTTTTAGATACCTTAAATAGGCTTTAGAAATGTGAATTAAAAATTTAGTTAGGCATTTATGCACATAATCCATTGTGCTGGGAAGTCCATTGGGTTAAACTCAGTCACAAGTGATAACTAAATTTTTTCTTTTTCTTTTTTACACATGTGAGAATGACTTGATCTTAAAGGGACTTGGAAAATTTGGAGAATATATTAAAATGAGATAATTTAGTCTAGAATTATAATTCTTCTAAGATCTTCAGATTCCAGGGGAATGATTTGACAAAAGAGTGGCAGAGAAATATTTCACAATTATTTCTTGTAAGGCAAATTGGGTTAGGGACTTTGGAAACAAATATTTAACTTTCTACTTTCTAAAATCACCTGTATTGGGCTTTTTCTTTTTCTGCTTCTTTTTCAGCTCCTTGTGGCTATAATGTAACATCTCAGAATGGCACCATCTACTCTCCGGGGTTTCCAGATGAATACCCAATTTTGAAGGATTGCGTTTGGCTTATCACGGTGCCTCCAGGGCACGGCATTTACATCAACTTCACCTTGTTACAGACGGAAGCCGTTAATGATTATATTGCTGTTTGGTAAGAGAACATTCAAGTGAAAAATAACCTGTAATTGTGATGAACTATTCTGATTTAGCAATTATATGCCACTTATATGTCCAGTTATGCATCTAGAATAAATGAGTTGGGAAAAAATTTCCCCAATGAAATCAGGAGAATAGAGAATAGATTTCATGTAGTATAATTAGGTTTTGCTCTATGGAGGAAGTATCCAGGATTGTTTTTAATATATGAGAATATCCCAAGATTTTTTTATTTTCTGACAGAATAGCTGTCGGGGTCTTTTGACATTATGTGATGGTTTTAGGAATATTGAAGAAATGGTTATATGGAGCCTCCTGCCCACTTTCTTTTATTATTATTATTTTTATTATATCACAACTTTGTACATTGATCCATTTATGGGGTACAGGGTACTGCTTCGATATACAATGTGAAATGCTTACATTGAACTCAATAACACATCCATTACAATTATACTCATTTCTTAATAGTTTTGAAATGTACCATTGCATCATGCACATTAGGTGAGGGCCCCCCAAATATCCTCCCTCTTCCCATATCTCCCTTCCCCGCCCCTGTCTCTCCTCTTCCCTTCTACTTTCTAGACTGTAGGCATGTTCTGCCATTCATATGATTGTGTAGGTGATTATATATTGATTTCATAGAAGTATTGAGTACATTGGATACTGTTTTTTCCATTTTTGATATTCTTTACTAAGAAGAATATGTTCCAGCTCCATCAAGGTAAACATAAAAGAGGTGAAGTCTCTATCCTTTTTTATGGCTGCTTAGTATTCCATAGTTTATGTATACCACAATTTGTTAATCTATTCATGGGTTGATGGGCACTTGAGTTCTTTTCATGTCTTGGCTATTATGAATTGGGCTGCAATAAACATTCTAGTGCAAATGTCTTTGTTGTAAAATAATTTTTGATCATCTGGGTATATACCTAGTGGAGGAATTGCAGAATTGAACAGTAGGTCTACTTTCAGTTCCTGAGTGTTCCCCAAACTTTTTTCCAAAAAGGCTGTATTAGTTTGCATTCCCACCAGCAGTGTAGAAGTGTTCCCTTCTCTCTGCATCCACACCAACATCTGTAGTTTGGGGATTTTGTGATGTAGACCAATCTTACTCCTCCTACCCACCTTTGTAAGTGCTGCAGAGCCACCTTCCTGGGACTCAAGTGGTAATGCTGAGCCAGGGCAGGTGGGGTCGGAAGTGCTGGCTCTCTTCCCACAGAGCCAGACTTGGGGGACTGCCCAGCTCCACTTCTGCTCCCTGGGGTAGAGTTCACAGGGGAAGCAGAACTGACCATTTTCCTGCTATACTAGGAGCACAAGGAGCATGTGCCCTGGCTGCTAGGAGTGGTGTGCTATAGGAATAAACTGCCAAGAAAACTAAAGATGTAATCGCAGGTGGCACCTGTACATGTGTGTTTGTGTTCGTGTGTGTTCTGTCCTGTGTCTGAACGTAGGGTTGTTTGTACGTCTGTGTCTGTATGTGTGTATGAGTCTGTGTTTGTGTGTCTGTATGGTGTTGTGTGGTGCACATAAGTTGTATGCCTGGCTGGGTATGTATCTGTGTGTCTCTGTGGGTGTCTGTGGATCTGTGTGTGAGGGTGTGTGGTTGTATGTGTGTTTGCCTGTGTGTGTGGTATATATGCAGTGTGTGTCTTGGTGAGTCTATGTGTATGGTGAGTGTGGTGTATATGGAGGTGTGTCTACACTTATCTCTGTGTGTGTGTGTGTAGTGCAGCAAACCTCTTGTCAGAACCCACAGGGCAGGAACTGAACAGTACCCATAGCAGGTGACACAGAGTTAACCTGTTCATTTTGTGAGAAACAGCCTAACACAGGGCACATGGGGTGGGAGACTCCTGAGGGGCTGTAGAAAGAAGTCCTGGCAGGAGATGATGCCACCTGCCTGCGGATGTGAGCACAGGAGAAGCAGAGAACTTGAAATACCACCTCAACCCCAGGGAGTTGCCATTTTAAATGCAAAGTGAAGCAGCACAGCAGGGTCGCGTGGGCAGCTCCTCGTGTTTACAGGGAGAGTGGACAGGCTTGACAGTCCAGGTGCCTATTGTCAGGGGCCAGCGACAGGGAGAGACAAAAGTTCAGTCCACCTTGTGAGTATCAAATATCTTGATGCTTCCAAACACCAGATCCAGAAGATGGTTCCATTTCATTTGATTTTTTAATATTTTAACTCATTAGCCAGCAATTCCCTACTGTCGCTCATAATTAAATAGACATCTGCATCAGTGGTTCTCTCTATATTTCCCAGGGATGGTCCAGACCAGAACTCACCTCAGCTGGGTGTTTTCAGCGGGAACACAGCCCTGGAAACGGCCTACAGTTCCACCAACCAGGTCCTGCTCAAGTTCCACAGTGACTTTTCAAATGGAGGCTTTTTTGTCCTCAATTTTCACGGTCAGTTCATTTTTACCCCATGGATTGAGGTGGAGGATTTCATGTGAAGTTTCCCACAGTGCAGTGGTCACTGGTACCTGGTTCCCCGACTCTGCCACCAGAGCCTGTAGGACGGCCTCCCACTGGAGGCCAGAGTTCCCTGGGATCCTTTCCCTTTCATGATAACATCACGATTTCACAGCTTATCTCACCAAGCTTGGATTCACTCCAAGATAAATGTATTCTAAGTGAAACTCTGATAGGAATGCCATTGAAATGCATTTGGTACCTTTATAGATTTACCCATCCATGTCTCCAGATGAAGTGATGTAGCAAATGTCATGTAATTACAAATGGAAGAACGCATCTCTATAACCTTGAGAATGAACTCTAAACAATATGGGGGGTAAAGTCGACCAACAGTCCCTTGTCTCCTAAGGACGCCACCTCCCATGGATTTCCTCAGGACAAGGGATACAGAATCATGTTTCAAATCTCAACATGGGCAGGGAGCTACTCACAGTCAGATCATTTCCCTTCTCAGAATTCCAGATATATGTAAAGTGTGTTTGTTTAATGTTATTTATTTTATTAATTGTATACTTTTTCCCGTTTATACCTTATTCCGTGGCATTAACTAATCATGTGAGCCTTTGGAGCTTGAGAATTTTATAAAACAATGATTTATAAGTATAGACATTTCAGAGTACTAAGCATTATAACAACTTTAAGAGGAATGTGGTTCTTTTGTTAACTGTGGTGTTTATTCAGCAAATGTAATTGCAATTATTGCTTTTCCCATCAATCATTTAGCATTTCAGCTCAAGAAATGCCCACCTCCTCCAGCCGTTCCCCAGGCAGAAATGCTCAGAGAGGATGATGACTTTGAAATAGGTAATATTTCCTTCATTACGTGCCATTAACTCAGCCTGTCTTTGTCTATACCCACCTCTCCCTGTAATAGTTAGTCTAGCAAATAGGCAATTTGTCAGAAAAGAACTATCCCTAAAGCATTTCTGAGAGCTTATACGGAGGTCATGTATCACCTAGAAAATGTTTTTACTTTATTTCCATGGTCCATTTTTGTTTTGCCATTTGAATTTTCCTTTTTGTCATTTTGAGTATTTTTGGCCTCATAATTTCTGTACTAATATTGGTTAAGTTTAAGATAGCATTATTGTCAAGTAAAAATTGGAAGTAAGGGCAACGCCTGTGGCTCAAAGGAGTGGAGCACCAGCCCCATATACCACAGGTGGCAGGTTCAAACCCAACCCTGGCCAAAAACTGCAAAAAAAATTGGAAATAGTACTATTTTTTAAACAGGCTAAAAATACAGACATTGCTTCCAAACAGGTTTGCATGTTGGTTAAATCATGAAGTAGTCATGTGTTTGATGCACTCATACTCCCCAAATGTCACAGAAACACACCCTCCTTGTTTGCTGTGTTGATTCTCCCAGGAGACTTTGTGCAGTACCAGTGCCATCCGGGGTACACCTTGGTGGGAACCGACACTCTGACCTGTAAGCTCAGCGCCCAGTTGCAGTTCGAGGGTTCCCTCCCAACATGTGAAGGTATGCAGTTTGGTGCTAAGAATACATATACTCATTTAACATAAAAAACTGTATTGACCTGAAGTTCTTTGTATTTGAACTTAGTCTCTGTCTGTGCTATGATCCCACTGCAATCAAAATAACCTGTGAAGGCAAATGTCTAAGGACTTTTCTTTCATTTAGCTAGCCCTAGAAATTAAATCAAAGCCACGTTAAATGAGAAATCATATTTTTTTCATGACAATTATCATAAAAATGTTAAAATATATAGATAATTTGAAATCACTTTAAAATCTGGATAATTTAACACATGAATTCCTACCATCTAGCTCCCACCATAAGTACTTACAAAACTTCCTTTGTCACATGTCTATCTCTCTGATATCTTTCTAATCATCTAGAAATTATCTCTTATTTTTGATGCATTTCAAAATAAATTTGGGTGTCATTTTATTTCTTCTTAAGCACTTCAGCATAAAAATAATGAGCTAGTATTTAATATTTTTGAAGTAAACTTTATAAGATGTACACATCTTGTGTTTTATTAACATGCCTTTAAAATACATAGATTATGCAGAAGAACGTGGATAATCTACGACAGTAGTACAAGGTTGAGTCTGAATGCATTGATTCCATCAATTCAAATACAATTAGATTATGTTAAGAGCATCACTCAATAGGCACCACCTCCGTGTATCACTGAACTGTTCTCTTAGAATCAGTGTCTGTACCATGTTACGAAACTGACAATGACCTACCTCCTTGTAGGTTTTCCCCTCAAAACGGGGGGAGATATAAAATATTCACTTTTTGCCCTTGTATGTAAATATTCACCTCTTTAGTGTACATTTTATTTTTTAAAAATCATCGCCTTAAATTTCTCAGAATAGATGACTCTAAGCAAAGGTGATCTTAGTTGTGATGCAAAGACAGGCGTACAATTTACTTCATGTGCTATTCTAAAAACAGAAAATCTGTGGTTTTTGTGTTGTCCTCCCCAGATAAACCTAGTTCCCACTTAAATGAAGTTTAACTCATGGCATTCTAAGAACAGGGCACAGCTGTACACCAAAATAATGACGTTTTCATCAATGATGAACCACAGGTCCGAAGGTAGTCCCGTGAGATTGCAATGAGGCTGAAAACTTCCTGTCACCTAGAAGTTTCTTCCTGACATCTAGCAGCTATAACATCATAGCTTAACCCATTACCTCTTCCATGTTTAGAAGTGTTTACATACACCAGTATTTACCATTGCATTACAGTTACCTATAATTTCAGCACAGTAACCTGCTATCCAGGTGTGTAGCCTGAGAGCAGTAGGCCGTTCCATGCTAGATGTGTAACAGGCTGAACCATCCAGGATGCATTTCACAGAATATTTCCCCGTCAACAAGTGATGCATGGCTGTAAATCAACATGACATGAGTATCCTTCTCTAAACTTCCTCAGCTGTCACACACATCTGCAGGGAGTGTCCAGCACAAAACACACACCCCTTTTACCCACATGAAAGACTCCCCCACCCTACCAAACTCCTGGCCATTACCATGCAGAATATCCCACTTCTTTCTCACTTAATTCTGTGACTGTGTTGAAAATGAACTGAGCGTGATGTGCGTTGTCATTTTCTGAACAGCTCATTATTTAGAGACAGTGAATAGAACTCAGATATCTTTTATCAAACCCATAATCACATAAGAACTTAATTATAATCTTTCTTTAAGTCATTTTCTATTATTTGATTGATTTAATTGGGCTAAAGTAGGGGCCACTGTCTTAAAAAATTCTTGATGAAAAGCCATACTAGCTCTCAGCTGTACTTCTTCAAATGTCATAACCACACTTTTAGAAGTTCTGCTTTGAAAATCCCCACATAGTTTTGAGAAACAAGAGGAGTAAATTGTTGTTTATTTATAGGCAGATATTTTCATATTAGAGATTTATCTTTGTTTAAATTAACTAAGGGATGTCACATAAGTGAATTTGCTCATGTTGAGGAAAGAGAAGTATTTCCAAAAGTGAAGAGAAATAACAAAGGGTTGGAACACAAGGGGTGTGTGGCTCCTTGCTGCTACATCTTGGGGTGTTTGGGGGAAGAGGTAAACTTAGTGGGACCAGAAACCCAAAGTAGGGCCAGATGTTAAAAGGTCTTCCGTGTCAGGTTTCTTCATGCTGTAAACAACGGGATCCATCAGTAGTCTCCAGAATATTCATTTTTTCAGAAAATTAGAAACATACATTATTAATGAACATTAAAGAGAATCAGTGACCTTCAGATAATGGCCATTCTGGAAAGCACCCGTAGGAGGCTGCGTAAAAACAGCTTCCCAGCTCCAGCTTCCTCCGGCACAGGCATGATAACAACGGCTCTGGGTGACAGGTTTTCCCGCCTGTTTACAGAGTGTTCTCAGTTTTTATAATTTTCTCATATGTGTAGGTGCTTTTAAAAATTAATCTCAATTACTTATAAACCTTAATTTATTTTATTAATCCTGTATTACAAATACTAATCTTTTATTCATTTTGCTGAAGGCCTGCAAGATGCATTATATAATACACTTTGGTTTTTAAGGCTCATATCTGATTTTGCTTCAAAAATAAGCTAAAGAAATAAGATTGTGTCGAGGGATGCTGGAACACAGCAGAGTGGTGTCTGGGAGAGACCTGCTCCTTTCAGTTGTGTTTTTGACAGGAGCCCCGAGCAGGTGCTTCCCGTGGTGGGAGATTCCCACCTTCTCCCGTGGAGATGCAGTGTATTTTTTAATGTCTAATTGCTGCTAGAGAAATGAGCACCTCAGCTGTAGGAGAGCACACAGGCCTGTGAAACCTTCCCCACTGAGTGGGCGTTGCCCCTAGCAACGCGAAGGGATAGGTACATGAGAAGACACAAGAAAGAGCAAGACAAACCAAATGAAACAAACAAAATAGCACTTTGGTTTCTGGGGGACACATTCAAATGCATTTTTCAAACAATACATATGTCTGGGAAAAAAAATATTGTTACGTGTTGTAAGAAAATGTTACAAATAATTTTGCTTATGTTTTCATTTTGCCTTCTCCAAGAAACAAAATTAGCATTTCAAAAACGAAAAGAATAAGAACAGCTATGCATAAAATGCTGCTTCTGGGTTAGAATCCCTGCACTGCATTAAACCCTGAGATGTGCTGATCGTTTCCTGGATGGACTCAGCAACTAAGTAGAAGCTTTTCTATTTCCAAGTGGTCTGAAGTTCCAATGTAATCTCATAACTATTGCTGCAATGATAAAATCACAGTCCTCTCACAGGGTAGAGAGACAGGCTGAAGATTTTTTTTACAAATACTACCCCAAAATGCCACATGGTGGGATGTAGGTGTCAGGAAAAGCAGGCATCTGATCTTATCACACCTCATCCCTGTAACAAATTGTTTCCATGCAGTGGTTTACATTTAAGAAAAACATCTACATTTATTGCATCAAGATGTTGTAAAACCTGAGGGTAGCTTGCTCTCTATTCACATCAGAGCCAGGAAAACTCCAGCTCTTATTGGAAAATCAGAGCAGGAGCCTCTGAAACTCCAGGCCCCGGCCTGCTCAGATGCACACAGACACAGATGCTTTGGAATGGGCATAATATGTTCGGCAAAGTGATCTGACCATCATCTCATGAGAAAAATAATACTTTTAAACCACTTGGTTCAGTCCCTGTGTTCTGCTTAAGGATCATTTTTGATTATATTATTGCCATTATTTTATCATTATAAATATTTTAAAAATCTCACCTAAAATACGTATTACATTTAAAAAATTCTATGAAGTGTTTCATCGTTGGTGGTCTTCTACCTAAATGTTTTCTAAATTTTAAGATATATTTTAATTAGCACACTAAGATAAATAAAAGAAAATAGGAAATAAATTTCTCTTTAGCAGTTACTCAAACCAAAGATTATTTTGAAAGCTTTGCTCATAAGTTTGAGGCGTGTCTTTTTTTCGAAATATATATGAATAAATAATACACATTTATCTAGTTAAAAGAAGATAACAAGACACATGTTTATGACAAAGGCTCTTTTTTGTTAAGATGAAGGTGATTATTGAACTTTTCAAAACTCAATAAATGGTTTTGGCACACCTCTATGCAACAATCTCAATAATAGACATCATTATCCATTAGTAGTCCTTAAAGCAAACTATTTCTGGAAGCCAATTTAATTTTCCAATGAGAGAAATTAATCACTAAGGGATTCTTTGGGTGCTTTTGTCTGTTCATACCTATGCAGATCATTTTTATTTTTATTAACCTGAAAATCATTCAATAAGGACAAAAAGAAACTAGGAGGAGGAAAGTACGTCGATGTCCATAATATCTTAACAATGGATTTGCAAAGAATTCGTCCCTTAGCAACCAGACTCCAGCCTCACAATAGGAAACCGCCGTGTGAACTGTGGGTTTGAGCCCAGGTCCCCCATTCACTCTTTTCCCAGGGTCTCCAGCAGTCACACAGAATGTTTAAATTGTATTATTCTGAGTACAGTAACCCCGCCTTATCTGAGGTTTCACTTCCAGCAGTTTCAGTTACCTGTGGTCTGACGTGGTTGGACATCAGTTTTAACCTACATGCCATTAGTGTGATGACATCTTTCCACGGTCCCCCTCTGTCTGCTGGGAACTTGAATTCTCTTTTTGTCTGTCGTACCCCTGGGGTGTACACTCTCTGCCCCACACAATGTGATCATCATGAAACACACAGGGCAGACAGGATTCTGTACTATCCACAGTTTCCGGCACCCATGGAGGATAAGGTATTTTAAAAACTGAAATAAACACACTTCTGGTTTTACTGCATAAAATTTCAGCATATTTGTATGACATTATTATGTTGAAAAGGCGAGGTGCTACTGTACAGTTCAGCAGGGAAAATGTGGATGCCATAATGAAATCCACGATGTACCTGCCCCAAGTTGAGGTCTGTGAGACCTGGGAATATGCAGGCTCGGAGCACATAACTGGAAGGCAAAGCTGCATGAATACTTGTTGTGGTTCAACGTTGCACTCCCGCAATGTTGGCACCTGGTGCTGAATTTGGTCGCAGCTCACTGAGATCGCTTTGCCGTTTCACTGTCTCTTCTGCACCAGGACAGAAGCTGTCCTGTTAGAGGTGGGCTCATTTTGTTGATGCAAACCTTTACCCTGCTTCTCTCTCCAGCACAATGCCCAGCAAATGAAGTCCGGACAGAGTCATCTGGAGTAATTCTCAGCCCAGGGTATCCAGGCAACTATTTTAACTCCCAGACATGCTCTTGGAGCATTAAAGTGGAACCAAACTATAACATTACCATCTTTGTGGACACGTTTCAAAGTGAAAAGCAATTTGATGCCCTGGAAGTATTTGATGGTAAGTTTCTTTGTGTACCAGTGACCTGAACATCATTAATATAAACCCCATTATGTTTTAGTAACATAAGGACTTAAATACATTCTTGAATTAAATTTCACCCCCCCCCCCAGAAGAAAAAATAAAACCAAGACTGTTCTGGAAATGTGCAGTCTCAGAGAACAAGTGGTCTCTGAAATCTTGCCATGTTATTAATGAGGCAACTTTTCAAACAATTAGAATGTTTAATGATAATACTGAAAATATGTTGAATTTTCTTTATTCTTTATTCTTTCCTTTATCTGGAGATAGAGATGATCTCAAATAGATTTCTTTTTCCTGAGCATTATACTAATTCCCAAGGTATTTTAGGAAATTTAAGAAGTCTAGAGCTACTTCAATCAACTTAAATGATTATTTTACTAGAAATATATAAAAATAATGGCTCACAGAGATTTCTAGATGGCAAAAGCTAAAGAGGATTTTAGTGTGCAGTTTTTGAAGTAGAGAAATATCATTAATGAAACACATGCTAATACTGTTTTCACAATATAATTTTTATACCTTTCTAATTAACATTTTAATATAAAAGTGCTATGATTAAAAGTACTATGTATTAAACTGTCAATTCAAAATGGAAAAAAATGTTATTTTTTTTTTGTATAAAAGCATCATCACAGCCCACAAAGTAAGATTAGATAAAATTACAGCTGTACATAAAAACAAGGTTTTCACACATATTGAGGGATTTGTCATTGAATTCAGATAAATAGTAGTCTATGCAGTGAAAAAAATACTCTAATTGATTCAGTATGTTTTTATAAGCATTTTTCTGACTTGAATCACTGTAGTCAAATTGCTGGTATTGATAGACACCATGTGAATCAGTTCATGTATTTTTGAAGATGAACTACTGAACTGGAAATTAAATGCAGATTTTTATACATACTGAAGGACAATATTTTCATTTTCAGCGGATGTCTTTTTTAAGTGTAGATTCAAACTGACATGTCACCATTGAAGACTTTCCTCTTCCTCTTTCAGAGTAGAGAGAAATAACCCATTAGTCAAATATAAAAACAAGGCTTTTATGTCAATGAGGAAAGATGTTAAGTGCTATCTGATGCTTATTAGGTGCCACAGAAAATTAACAAATAAGTAAGATAATGTGAGCCCCTGTAGACTCACAGGCGAGGCCTCTGTGCATGTGTGTTTGTGTGTATAGAGACTGGTATAGTCCTACACATGCCGTATTTTATTAAATAAATTTAAATGCGTGAAGATTCTTTTGTTTCACCTTAGTTAAATGGAAATATTACTGGCAGCACTGTCATGTCTTTTGGTTTCTCTTTTGTGTATTTAGAATAAGTAGTAGTGATGAGAACTTTCTGCGTTGCCCAGGCCGGTCCCAAAGGTCTAGTCTCACGCGATTCTCCTGCTTTGTTTGCCTAAAGTCCTGGGATTACAGTTTGAGCCACTGTGCCTGGCCCATGTGTTTTAATTTCAGGAGCAACACTTTTATCCATAACTTTCAATGCATGAATATTTATTTAATAAAATATGGCACGTATAGGACTATACAGGTCTCTATACACAAACACACACATGCACAGAGGGCTCGCCTGTGAGTCCAGCTGTGCTCATTATTTTATTTACCTGTTAATGTTTTGCACCTCTGGATTGAAATTTGATCTTCCCCAAATCTGGATAATTCATGTCCATTATAAACGTCGGGTAAAATAGATCACAGAGACAACAGCATAAAAGTCGCTGTCAAAATTACTAGAGATCTATGGCTATGATTGTGCTTGTCTTGAAGATTTTTCTATGAAATGAAAGGTCAGAGTTTTAGATGAATAACTTTTTTAAGCAATTGCATTTCTGTTGCAGTAAATGTCATATGTATCTCTCTTTTTAAAAAACTGGGGCTCTTTTATAGTTCATGGGTTGACCAACAAACATGTCAAATACCCCGACTTTAAATTTTATTAGCCCAGGAGTATGCAAGTCTTCATAGCTCAATTGGTAGATAAACCATAATTTTTAAAAACAGAATTTTAGTCATTATAGAACTTAGTTGAGAAAAGTGTGGAAATTAAGATTGTGGTTCACTGGTGAGACGCTTAGTTTTCTTCTTGTTGACACCCACCACTTTCCTCTTTACACTGTGCTAATTTTCTGTACATACCAGGCTGGTGTTGGCTTTTAAAGAACAGCCCTTCTAGAAAGTGTGCTGCTACATTTCAGGCAAAGAGAAGAGAAGAGAAGGAAAGAATGGAAGGAATAGATGTCAGATTAAGAACACCTAAAACTTTACTCTTAAGTCCTGTTGTTAGAAATGGCATTTTAAAATATCGTAAATTCAAGCTAATTGACTTCCCAGCAGCATTTTATTTCAAAACTATGCTATCTCTTTAAACATCAACAAGCAAACCAACACACAAAACACGGTTCTGTATTCTTAGTTATAAAACAATCCTCTTGTGCGGGGCACCTCCTGGGCAACTCACCCATGTGGATCTATCAGAATAAGAACAAGCATTTCTTCTGTTTTTTCCACTGCTCTAACCAACACAACATTGCCTGAATATTTAATATTCTGGCTTTTAGTATTTGCTTACTATGGCTCCCATGACAAAATACCACACTCTGGGTGGCTGAAACAAAAATCTATCCTCACAGTCAGAGGTGAAGATGTGGCAGGACTGGACCGTGCTGATGCCTTTCCCTGGGGCTGCTCAGGCTTCCCCTCCTCTGTCTGTGTCTGGGTCCTGACCCTCTTTCTCATGAGGACCCTAGTCGTATGGGATTAGGGACACCCTATTGACCTCATTTCACCTCTTTAAAGACCCTCTCTCCAAATATAGCCCCATTCTGACTTCACAGTATCAAGTTGGGAGAGACAAAGTGCTGCCAATAACAGTTTTATTTGGAAAAATCATTAGAACTACTCTGATTGGGAGTGACACAAAGAGCAAAGTATGGCTCATCAGTATCTTAGTCTGAATACAAAATTTATGTATAACTCTGAAAGACAGCCACATTCTGACATTCTCTGATGTGTTTCCTGGGTGTGACTGTGAAATGTGGAAAAGCTATGGAACCTTCTAAAAGCTGAGATCGTGTGGGGCTCCCTAACAGAGACCCTGAGGTGTGACCGCAGAAAAGTGATCTCTCTCAGTAAATAGGGTAGGGTCACGGTGATGAGAATAATGCCAGCTGTCCGTATATCGCACTTGATTTAACTGATGTTTAATGTTAACTTTTGTTTCTTAATTTTTGAAAGATTTCAAATTCTGTGTACACAAAGATGAAAGTTAAAAGTAGGTATGAATTTTAGAATTTTGGCAAATTCAGATTTACCATAGGCTCTTATTTTATGAAGAAGTGATGCAAGTAGGTGAATTTAGAGGCTCCAGGCACATCCGAATCTCCTTGCCTCTCTCCTTTAAGGACTGAGCATCCTGAGGCCAGAGTCCTGTGGGTTTCTACTTTGCATGTTTTTATAATTCATTCTCTCTACGTGTCTTCATACACATGTTTATTTTGTGTATTTTTGAATTTTTACATAATGACTGTTGTGTTTTTGGTGTGGAAGGAGAGATGCCTGGGGTACCCCTGGGGTGACCCCCTTGTGACCCTACTTTTCCTATTGTACATATTTACCTTAAAAGAGATATTTTTAGTAATCAAAAATATGCTATTTTAAGAGCTGCCTATGCTGATACATGTATTTCTAGTTTCCTAATTTCAGTAATATATGCATCTGATCTCATTTCATGGCATTTTCAATTATTTCTTAGAACCCTAAACTACTACTCCAGATCCAAAATTTACCATGAATAATAATGCTGGAATACACATTTTTGCCATATCAATAAGATTTTTATATGTATTCTGGAGTTTTTAGAAAATTAATTAAATCTTCAATGTTTCTGGGTGTTGCCAAATTAATTGCCCCTTAAAGTGATTGTACTAATTTATCCTCCCTTAGTCCTGCATGAAAGTTATATTTCCCTACACAAGCATAATATTACAAATACTAATAGTAAAAAATAAGGTCTTTTTTCTAGTTACTGCCATTTTACAAAGTTCATTTGATTTAATTATTATGCTGTTAATCCCATGTGCATCTGGAATTATTTCTGTAGATTGTTTTATTTTTATCAGGGAATTTCTGTGTTGCTACAGTCACTTAAAATTCTTTGTCCATTTGGGTAATAAATAACAATAGATATGATGCACAGAGACGCCACTGGATCAGAAGCCAACAGGAGCCCCCTGATTTCGTAGTTCCTCACTGGTCTTTGAACTCTTCCTGTTTGTCTCTCCACTTAGGCTCTTCTGGACAAAGCCCGCTGCTGGTCGTGCTAAGTGGGAACCACACTGAGCAGTCGAACTTTACAAGCAAGAGTAATCAGTTATACCTCCGCTGGTCCACTGATCATGCAACCAGCAAGAAAGGATTCAAGATTCGATATGCAGGTCAGTAAATGAAATTTACATTTACTATAAAAGTGTTCTTGATACAAGTGATCTTTACTACATAAAAGCAATTGAAATAGAGATTTACAATATAAACTCTGAAGCTTGATAATAAGCTGCAATAGAAATAGTATGATGGGAGATTATTGTGAGAGATATCTCTAAATGATATTAGGAAATTTGTTGATTAATATTTTAAAATTTTATTACAGCACACTCTACCCCATGATTGCATTAATATACACAGTTATGCTATAAGAAATATATAAAAAAAAACTTTCAAACCATTATAATGGATAGCATAGAGCAGAGAAGGATGGCAGACTAGAGACAGCTTCCCTGCAACTGGCACAGTGAGACTGGGGAGACAAGACCTCTGGCTTGTGGGCTCTACCCAGAAACATCCCTTCAGGGGCATGGGGAAGTAGCGGGAAGCTTCAGGACCCCAAGAGGAGAACTAAAGCAGCAGAGAAGCAGCAAATGTTTGAGATTGGTCTGAGGCCGGCTGGCTGTGGTGGCTCCCACAGCAGCAGTGAGAGTTTGCAGGCAGGGAAGACCTTCCCTGTGGTTTTTTTTTTTTTTTTTTTTTGGACTTGGGCACTTGATTGAGTTACCTTGGGAGACCTTGGGCAAGTGAGCAAGTAACTTTGAATAATGCCCAGAGGCTGGGACTAAGCCATCAGAGCTGAATAGAGCTTTAGTTGTTGGGCCGCAGGCTAGGCACAACCATTGTTGGGAGAGCTGCCTTGTAGGCTCAATCCTCAGGGTCCTAGAGCAAGGCCAATTTTTTTTTTAAATGATGTGTTTCCTAAATATTTATTTAGTGCTTACTATGTGATAAGGTACTATTAGGTGCCGAAACAAAGTTGCTATTAGTAGTTTGGTATTTTTTCTTTTTTTATTAAATCATAGCTATGTACATTAATACTGTCATGGGGTATAGTGTGATGTTTTTATATACAATTTGAAAAATATTCATTAAACTGGTTAATTTCTGGAGTGCCTGATAAGTGGGCCCCCACTTCTGGAGAGATCTGAGCAACATATGCTCTCCTGGAAAAGCCACTGCCTAGCCAGGGGATATTGTTTGGAAAGGTCAAGGTATGTCTGTTAAGTGGGCTGAGGACAGATTCAGGCTCTCAGCCCTGCAGGGTTTGATCACATGTTTGCCAGGCAATATTCAGCAAGATATATATACATACACACACACACACACACACACACATACACATATGTAACTATATATGTGTGTGTGTGTGTGTATATATATATATGTTTTATATATATATATAAAACTATATATATAAAACTATATAAATATAAGTATATATATATAAACTATATATATATATAGTTTTCCTTTTAAAAAACATTTTTTTCAAATGCTTTCCCCCTAGATTTTTTTTTCTTCTTTTTCCTCCCTTTTTCTCATGTAAATATAATTTTTCATTGTCGCCTTCTTTAATATTAAGGACTTCATTTTTGCTACATTTTCAGCCCCTGTTATTTGTTTTTTCCCCACAATTTTATCCCTTAAGGTTTTTTGTTTGGTTGGTTGGTTGGTTGGTTTGATTTGTAGTAGTTTTGTTTTTCTTCTCTATTTGGTGGAGGTGGGGCCCTGTGTCTGCTCAGGCTGACAAAAAGCTGCAGATATCAAAAGACCCACCCCTGACCCCTGCCACCCGAGGTTGGGATTTGTTGGTCAGTATCAAATTAGCCTGCTGTACACCACCATTATTCCTATTTCTCTCTTTCTGCTCCTCTCTTCTTTTTGTCAATCTTCCCTTTTACTCTCTGCTTTTTCTTTCTCTTTCCCCCTTTTTAAAAATTCTTTTATCCCTTCATGCTCTTCACTCTTCTCATCCTTTTAGTTCTTTACCAAAAGAATACTTAAACACCTTAGGTCAGAGGCATTGTAACTTAAAGAGGAAGAGAAAGTGAAAGGAAAAAAGTAGGACAAGGAAATTGACAAAAAGAATACACTCATGAAGAAGAAATAGAAGAAACATTCTGGCAACATGAAAAACCAGACCAGAGCAAGACCCCTCCCCAAAGGGCCATGTGGTAGCTACTTCAGAAGACTTCACCTATAAAGAAATGTTAGACATTACCAAAGGGGAATTTAAAATATGGATGATAAAAACAATGAAGGAAATTGCTGAGAAACTGGAAAATAACCAAAAGGAAATCCAAAAACAGAATAAAATAAGATATGAATGATACAACGAATACAGAAAAGATATAGCAGAGCTAAAGGAATTGAAGCAGTCAATCAGGGAACTTAAACATGCACCATAGAGTATCAATAACAGATTAGACCACGCAGAAGAAAGAATCCCAGAGGTAGAGGATAAAATCTTGAGCTAACTCAGGCAGTGAAAGGGACAGAAAAAAAGAGAGAAAGTAGAACTTTCACTAACAGAATTTGGGACTTCATGAAACATTCAAATATACAAGTTATCGTTATCCCAGAAGTGTAAGAAGAATGCCCCAGATGACTGGAAGTCCTACTAGAGGATATCATAAATGAAAATTTCCCAAATGTCACCAAAGATTCTGACACATCTCTGACCTAGGGTCCAATATGACTTGACCCTAGGTCATCTCAACTCAGAGCTTCTCCAAGACCCATTGTCATGAACCCATCCAAAGTGAAGACAAAAAAAGTAGATTCCACAAACAGCTGAGAGGAAGTACCAATTGACCTGCAGGGCAAGTTCATTAGGGTGTTTGAGGACTTCTCAAATGAAACTTTTCAAGACAGAAGGCAATGGTCATTGGTCATCTAACTTTAATCTACTTAAACAAAACAATTTTCAGCCCAGAATTCTATATCCTTCTAAGCTAAGCTTTGAAATTAATGGAAAAATTAAATCATTTGCTGGTATGGAAACATTGAGGAAGTTTGCCAAAATAAGACCAGCTCTACAGGTAATACTTAAACTTATTCTGCACACTAACCATCACAATAGCCACCAGCAAATACCCAGAAACTAAAGGATAATACCTAGCTTCCACAAGGATGCAAAAGATAAAACTAAGCAATGGAATTTCACAAAATAAGATGAAGGAAACTCCACCACATTTACCAGTTGTCTTGATAAATGTTAATGACTTGAATTCCCCACTGAAGATTCATAGGCTGTTGATTGGATTAAAAAAAAAAAAAAACACAAGCCATCCATTTCCTGTCTGCAGGAAACACACCTAGCCTTGAAGGACAAATTAAAAATCAGGATTAAGGGATGGAAAACATTTTTTCAGGCAAATGGGAATCAGAAAAAAGGCGGGATTGCAATCTTGTTTTCAGATACAAGTGGAAATAAAGCAACTAAAATCAAACAAGACAAAGATGCACACTTCAAATTTTTCAAAGGATCAATACAACAAGAAGACATTTACATCATAAACACTTGTGTGACCAACTTATTGCTCCCAGATTCTTCAAGCAGACCTTAATTAGTCTGAACAAGATGATAACCCATAACATCATAATAGCAAGAGACTGTAATACTACTCTCTAATACTACAGAGCTGGACAAATCCTCTAAACAGAACCTAAACAAAGATACAGGTACTTAAATGTGACCCCATAACAGCTGTGCTTGGTAGACAAACATAGAACACTCCAACACAAAGCTAAAGAATATACATTTTCTCCTTGGCCCATGAAACATTCTCCAGAATAGATCATATCATAGGCCACCAATCAAACCTCAACAAAATCAAAAGACTTGACATTTTACCTTGTATTATCTCAGACCACAAGGCAATAAAGGTGGAACTCATCTCCAACAAAAATTGTAATCCCCACACAAAGGCATGGAAATTAAACAACCTTATGCTGAATGACATTTGGGTTAAGGAAGAGAAAAATAAGGAAATTATTAATTTCCTTGAGCATAACAACAATGAAGACACAAGCTACCAAAATCTGTGGGACACTATAAAAGCAGTCCTAAGAGGGAACTATATCGCATTAGATGCCTACATCTGCAAGACACAAAGAGAGCTTATCAATAACCTAATGAATAATCTTAAAGACATGGAAAAGGAAGAGCAATCCAATCTCCAACTTAGCAGAACAGAATTAACTGAATTCTCATCAGGAATAAATGAAATTTAAAATAAAAGAATTATTCAGAAAATTAAAAAAAACTGAAACTTGGTTCTTTGAAAAGATACATGAAATCAATAAACCACTGGCCAGATTAACAGAAAGAAAAGTAAAATCTTTAATCACTTGATTCAGAAATGAAAAGGGGAAAATAACAACTGATACCTCAGAGGTATAAGAGATTATTTCTGACTGCTACCCAAAACTCTATGCCTAGAAATTTGACAATGTGGAGGAAATGGACCAATACCTGGAATCACACCATCTTCCTAGACTTAACCAGGAATAAATAGATCCTTGAATAGACGAATATCAAGCATTGAAAGAGTGCAGAAACAATAAAAAAAGCTTCCAACAAAAAGCCCAGGACCAGATGGCTTCGTGTCAGAATTCTATCACACTTTGAAAGATGAGCTTGTACCTATATGCAGACCCTATTTCAAAACATTGAGAAGGAAGAAACCTTCCCCAAGGCATTGTATGGAGAAAATATCACTTTGATTCCAAAACCAGGAAAAGACCTAACTAAAAAGGTGAACTACACACCAATTTCACTTATGAATGTCAATGCAAAAATACTCAACAAAATCTTAGCTAATAGAATGTATAATTTTTTTAATGAATAGAACTCTGCCACACTTACCAATTTTGTTTATGAATATCAATGCCAAAACACTCAACAAAATCTTAATAGAGATCTTAAGATCACCCAACAAAACCTAATAGAATCTATGATCAAGTAGGTTTTATCCATGGGATGCAAAGTTGGTTTAACATACAAAAATCTATAAATGTAAAACACCATGTCAATAAAAGCAAAAACAAAGACCATATGATCCTTTCAATAAAAGCAGAAAAAGTATTTGACAAAATTCATTATCCT